GATACAGAATGGGGGGAGTAGTTTGACCCTGATACTCAAGAATTTGATACAGAATTGGGGGAGTAGTTTGATCCTGATACTCAAGAATTTGATACAGAATGGGGGGAGTAGTTTGAGCCTGATACTCAAGAACTTGATACAGAATAGGGGGAGTAGTTTGACCCTGATACTCAAGAATTTGATATAGAATAGGGGAGTAGTTTGAGCCTGATACTCAAAGAACTTGATACAGAATGGGGGAGTAGTTTGAACCTGATACTCAAGAACTTGATATAGAATAGGGGGAGTAGTTTGAGCCTGATACTCAAGAATTTGATACAGAATGGGGGGAGTAGTTTGACCCTGATACTCAAGAACTTGATACAGAATTGGGGGAGTAGTTTGACCCTGATACTCAAGAATTTGATACAGAATGGGGGGAGTAGTTTGAGCCTGATACTAAAAAATTTGATACGGAATGGGGGGAGTAGTTTGAGCCTGATACTCAAGAATTTGATACAGAATGGGGGGGGAGAAGTTTGACCCTGATAGTCAAGAACTTGATACAGAATGGGGGGAGTAGTTTGAGCCTGATACTCATGAATTTGATACATAATAGGGGGAGTAGTTTGAAACTGGTACTCAAGAATTTGATATAGAATGGGGGGAGAAGTTTGACCCTGATACTCAAGAACTTGATATAGAATAGGGGGAGTAGTTTGAGCCTGATACTCAAGAACTTGATACAGAATGGGGGGAGTAGTTTGACCCTGATACTCAAGAACTTGATACAGAATTGGGGGAGAAGCTTGACCCTGATACTCAAGAATTTGATACAGAATGGGGGAGTAGTTTGAGCCTGATACTCAAAGAACTTGATACAGAATAGGGGGAGTAGTTTGACCCTGATACTCAAGAATTTGATACAGAATGGGGGGAGTAGTTTGGGCCTGATACTCAAGAACTTGATACAGAATGGGGGGAGTAGTTTGACCCTGATACTCAAAGAACTTGATACAGAATGGGGGGGAGTAGTTTGAAACTGATACTCAAGAACTTGATACAGAATGGGGGGAGTAGTTTGAGCCTGATACTCAAGAACTTGATACAGAATAGGGGGAGTAGTTTGAAACTGGTACTCAAGAATTTGATACAGAATGGGGGGAGTAGTTTGAGCCTGATACTGAAGAATTTGATACAGAATGGGGGGAGTAGTTTGACCCTGATACTCAAGAATTTGATACAGAATGGGGGGAGTAGTTTGACCCTGATACTCAAGAACTTGATACAGAATGGGGGGGAGTAGTTTGGGCCTGATACTCAAGAATTTGATACAGAATACGGGGAGTAGTTTGAAACTGGTACTCAAGAACTTAATACAGAATGGGGGGAGAAGTTTGACCCTGATACTCAAGAATTTGATACAGAATAGGGGGAGTAGTTTGAAACTGGTACTCAAGAATTTGATACAGAATGGGGGGAGTAGTTTGACCCTGATACTCAAGAATTTGATACAGAATGGGGGGAGTAGTTTGACCCTGATACTCAAGAATTTGATACAGAATGGGGGGAGTAGTTTGGGCCTGATACTCAAGAACTTGATATAGAATAGGGAGAGTAGTTTGAGCCTGATACTCAAGAACTTGATACAGAATGGGGGGAGTAGTTTGAACATGATATGAGAAATAGATGCAGGACACAGGGTGTATTCTGAAAATATACTATAGGTTAAGAAAAGAATAGTGATTTACGGGTGGCACCTTGAGTTTATCCAAATAAGGTTAAATATGAAACTGTAACAAAATAACTGGGACTAAAATATCTGATACACATTATCAGCGTTAGAAATTGGCACTAGTCCTGTAGTCCTTACCAAACTGCCAAATAGTAAAGGTATCCTAAGGACGAGTAGAAATTGGCCCATTTTAAGTGTTTTGCTATATGTTATCATTATAAGGACTAGTGGACAAAAGCTGTTAGTTTCTAACCTTGAATATTGGGGATTGTTCTAAACCTGGCATTTCAAAATAGAAAATTAGGAAAAGGGGTTGAAAATCTTACGATACAAGAAATGTTTGATCCTTTTTGCAATCATTTTAAGACAAGGGGAGTCATTTGGGCCCAGTAGGGGAGTTAGCTGAGTCTAGAGGGAATGTTTTGAGCCTGCCTAGGGGAGTCATGTGAGCCTAGGCCCATGTGACTCTAGAGTCAAATTTAGGGGGAGTCATGTGAGCCTACTACACCGGGCCAGAATACGCTAGGCCTTGTTTACTATCCCAATACCACTCCTGAAGTTACAGTGCGTGGTTGTGTGTTCAAACCATCAACCACCGGTTTGTCTTATCCATACCCGATTACCGTAAGTCTTTTCACCTATATACCCAAAAGACGTTAAACGATGGGACTTGTTGTTTCCCTGCCTAATGACGCACTACATTACTGGGATTTAAAAAAACTGTTATATGAAACAGATGAGGCGGTTTCACTGTTATATTTCTAGCCCTGGTGGCTAGGCAAAACAGTACAATAGTATTGACTGTTGACCATTATTGAAAGGTATCAGATCATCGATCTGCACCTTAGTTAAACCTTTTGGCCAAATTCACTTATTTTGATTTTGCCTATCCGAGTAAATATTCCGACCCTATGCCTATAGTGACCAGGAATCCAATTATTCAACATCGTGTCAGCTTAATGTAGGAAGAAAGCCTGACATGATATTGTGGGATCGAATCCCGGTTCACCCCGATAATGTTTCTAGGTTTGTCAGCACCATACCCGTGCTCGTTGGTTTCACCGAAGTGGTAAACGTCTGAGACCTGCATCACTTCGGGCTTTCCTCACACAATAGCTGACACGCCGCGATATGACTGGAATAATGTTAAAAGCGGCGTTAAACCCAATTCACTCACTCACTCATGTAAAGGTCATAATATTGGATAGCATTGGGCATCATGTTGACGAGCATAAATATTTAGTAATTTGCTCTGAAGGTCTACCATTGACTTTCTGGAATGACTTGTCCGGGCTTTTGATGGTGAGACCTTTATTGAAAAGCTCATCTGTTAGCAACATGTGTGTTTCCCTGTGTTTTTAATGGTATGTGCATGTTCTTAAGTTCCTAAGCAACGGGCAAAAGTACACACAATAAGACTCCAGGGAACAGGTAGTGTGTTGCTCGACATACAGGGGAAATTCACGATGTGGAAAACTAAATCATCCCTCTTGTCCATCAACACCGTCAACACCGTCAACATCGTCTACACAATCAACATCATCAACAACATCTACACCATCAAAATGATGCCTCTTGTCACACAGCTTGGTACAGTGATTGAGCGAGTGAGTTGGGTTTAACGCCGCTTTTAACAGTATTCCAGTTATATCGCGGCGTGTCAGCTTAATGTGGGAGGAAAGCCCGAAGTGATGCAGGTCCCAGACGTTTACCACTTCGGTGAAACCCACGAGCACGGGTATGGTGCTGACAATCCTAGAAACATAATTGGGGCGAACCGGGATTCGAACCCACAATCATAGGTTTCCGAAGTGCCCAAGGGACGCAACTCTGCACAGCGAATCGCGGCGCCTTGATGACTGGGCCACCCTTGCCCCGCTTGGTACAGAGATCGCCATCATTTTTAATGCACAGATTCAGATAGGACACTGAATACGTTTCTCAACTATCAGGGATGGATGAGGTGAAATATCTTAGCATTGTTAAAACATATTAGGTAATCAATATACAGTAATCAATAATCAATAATACAATTATAACGAACACGCTTATAACGAACTAACGGATATAACGAACTAACTTTTTAGTCCCGACCATTTGCTGTAGTTATACTGTATATATGCTTATAACGAATTACGGTTATAACAAACTAAAATTAGTAGTCCCTTTGAGTCCGTTATAACCGTAGTTTAGTGTATCTGTTACTGGGGTTTAACTTCTTGGCAGGAACAGACAAGTATGGATGTCAACTTCTTTGTTATAAGGGACACACATTACGGAGTATATACTTACTCCTTCATCAGGCGAATAAATGCTATGAGGCAGAGAACATATGTACAGTAATTTTAGGTTATAACTAACTCTATCTAACTAACTAATGGGCCACAAATTTTAGTTCGTTATAACCGTAGCTCGTTTTAAGCATATTTACAGCAAATGACCGTGACCAAAAATATAAGTTCGTTATATCCGTCAGTTCGTTATAAGCGTTTACTTGTATGTACCTGTTAAACAAAGGTGATAAGATAACAAAGGTGGAACTTTACAAGAGAAGCCAACAGTTAATTGGCGCTGATAGGTGGACAAATGGAAGCCAACACATAACAGTTAATTAGTGCTGATAGGTGATAGCGATGGAGGACTGGAAGCCAGGACTTAAATGTTGGTAAAAGGCAATGGACAACGGGCAAAGGGAAGGCCGGGGGTAATTAGCACTGATAGGTAATAGAATGGAAATGGCAATGGACAAATGGAATTATCCCCGGCCTCCCGTTTTGTTGTTTTATGCCGCACTCGGCAATATTCAAGCTATATGACGGCGGTCTGTAAATAATCGAGCCTGAACCAGACAATCCAGTGATTAATATCATGCGCATCGATCCACGCAATTGGGATTGATGACATGTATCAACCAAGTCAGCGAGTCTGACCACCCGATCCCGTTAGTTGCCTCTTACGACAAGCATAGCTGCCAATTACGGCAAGCATGGGTTGCTGAAGACCTATTCTATCCCGGATCTTCACGGGTCGGGTTTTTGTACTGAAAGACATTTTGTACTGAGCCTGGTACAAAGGCCTAATTTTTAATTACGTTTTCACTTCTTTAAAAAACCGTATTGGATGTTGTCGAAACACACTCAAAGCAACTATTTGACCACTCGGTCAATATACTGAAAAAATGTTATTTTTTGCATTACTAAATCACAGTTCACGGCTACATATAAGATGACAAGTTTGATAAGGTAAACACGGGAAACATGTATCTAAATACAATAATATAACTCACAGTCAGTGGTAGCTATTCCTATGCATCCGTGACTAGGTCCAAGGTGGTCAACTTAGCGGGATCCTCACATCTGGGTTCTCTCTCTTTCCCCAAGTCTCCGACCCTACGCTGGTGTTGTGTTGAACGACTTGCGTAACGCCTCCCTCCGTCAACTCCCCGTCCTGTTCTACGTATTCCCTGACAGACCGACGAGTTTCACTCAATAGTTCCTATTGATCCAAGCAATATACCCGTATATTGTCTCTCGCGGCAATACCATTGCTACTGTGCATATAAGTGATTGCTCACTTTGTGGAAATAAACAGACATGAAATAATTAATCAACATTGTCTTTTTTAATTTATTTTGCTTTTTCGATTTCCGTGTTGAAACAGTTTTAATTGATACGTAGTGTAACAATAAACACGGCATGAAAAAAACCATTTCCTTATGTTTGGACAAGTGATGGTTTTTATGTAACTCATTTCCAAGTATTCCAAATCATTTGGTTATATTTACATGTATGACTAGTTTGGGAATGTTTGGAAATGCCTTGTTTTGGGAATGTTTGGAAATGCCTTGTTTGGAAATGTTTGGAAATGCCTTGTTTTGGGAATGTTTGGACATGCCTTGTTTGGGAATGTTTGGAAATGCCTTGTTTTGGGAATGTTTGGAAATGCCTAGTTTTGGGAATGTTTGGAAATGCCTAGTTTGGGAATGTTTGGAAATGCCTTGTTTGGGAATGTTTAGAGATGCCTTGTTTAGGAATGTTTGGAAAGGCCTTGTTTGGGAATGTTTGGAAATACTTAGTTTGGGAATGTTTGGTAATGCCTTGTTTGGGAATGCTTGTAAATGCCTTGTTTTTGGGAATGTTTGTAAATGCCTTGTTTGTAAATGTTTAGAGATGCCTTGTTTTGGGAATGTTTGGAAATGCCTTGTTTAGGAATGTTTGGAAATGCCTAGTTTGGGAATGATTTGAAATACCTAGTTTGGAAATGTTTGGAAATGCCTTGTTTGGGAATGTTTGGAAATACTTAGTTTGGGAATGTTTGGTAATGCCTTGTTTGGGAATGTTTGGAAATGCCTTGTTTGGGAATGTTTGGCAATGCCTTGTTTGTAAATGTTTAGAGATGCCTTGTTTTGGGAATGTTTGGAAATGCCTTGTTTAGGAATGTTTGGAAATGCCTAGTTTGGGAATGATTTGAAATACCTAGTTTGGAAATGTTTGGAAATGCCTTGTTTGGGAATGTTTGGAAATGCCTTGTTTGGGAATGTTTGGAAATGCCTATTTTGGGAACGTTTAGAGATGCCTTGTTTGGGGAATGTTTAGAAATGCCAAGTTGGGGAATGTTTGGAAAAACCTAGTTTGGGAATGTTTGGTAATGCCTTGTTTGGGAATGTTTGGAAATGCCTACATTGGGAATGTTAGGAAATGCCTTGTTTGGGTATGTTAAGAGATGCCTTGTTTAGGAATGTTTGGAAATGCATAGTTGGGGAATGTTTGGAAATGCTTTGTTTGGGAATGTAAGGAAATGCTTTGTTTGGGAATGTTAGGAAATGCCTTGTTTTTGGGAATGTTTGTAAATGCCTTGTTTGGGAATGTTTGGAAATGCTTAGTTTGGGAATTTTTGGAAATGCCTTGTTTGGAAATGTTGTAGACTGCACTCATTTACATCAGCGTCTATACTCGTCCATTATCATCTAGGTTTGTCAGCACCATACCCGTGCTGCTGGGTTTCACCGAAGTGGTAAACGTCCGAGACCTGCATCACTTCGGGCTTTCCTCCCACAATAAACTGACACGCCGTGGTATAACTGGAATATTGTTAAAAGCGGCGTTAAACCCAACTCACTCACTCACTCACTCGTCCATTATCACCTAATTTGCAACAAATTACTGAAATCACTCATTAACCAGTCTCGTTAATCCGACAAAATCATATGCATCCAGCCATATTGGATGAACGGACTTGACCGTATATGAGCTTGGGTTAAATTAACGCCGCTTTTAACAGTATTCCAGTTATATCACGGCGTGTCAGCTTAATGTGGGAGGAAAGCCCGAAGTACTGCAGGTCTCAGACGTTTACCACTTCGGTGAAACCCACGAGCACGGGTATGGTGCTGACAAACCTTGAAACCGGGATTCAAACCCACAATCATAGGTGCCCAAGTGCACAGCGAATCGCGGCGCCTTAGAAGACTGGGCCACCCGTGCCCCCGGCTTACAGTCTTTAGGTGTGTGTGTGCGTGTGCGTGCGTGCGTGCGTGCGTGCGTGCGTGCGTGCGTGCGTGTGTGTGGTGTGTCTTATTTATTACATTTATTATTGGAGGCTGGTGAGGCTCTGTGTGTTGTGTTTAGGTGGTAAGGCTTGGTGTGGTTTACGTAGCATGGTGTGATATGTATATATATAATCTTGTCATATAATTGGGACTTATATTAACCCCAGACATTTCATACTGTAATACATTTGTCTTATTGTCTCTCAAAGCCCTCGGGGCGGCCATTACGGTGGACGAGACATAAACAACTATTTTTCTTCCTATATAACTAACGTCATTTCTGCGGGCGTTCGATATCCCAGCAGTGTCTGTCCACAAAGTCACAGCTCGTCAAGTAGGATAGAGGACGCTCTGAACATGGCAAGGGACATTTAATTGCAAGTGCCCATGGAGACGAAAAAGCCGTAGCGTGTTTGTTACATTATCATAGATAACATTTGATGAAAAAATATTACGATAGTGCTTATTTTTATTAACAATAATAATAATAATGTATTCTTCCATAACATTTATGTGAACCTTATGTTTTTTCTTTTAGCTTCGGGGCATGGGTGGCCCAGTCGTCTAAGGCGCCGCGATTCGCTGTGCAGAGTTGCGTCCCTTGGGCACGCCAGAAACCTATGATTGTGGGTTCGAATCCCGGTTCGCCCCAATTATGTTTCTAGGTTTGTCAGCACCATACCCGTGCTCGTGGGTTTCACCGAAGTGGTAAACGTCTGAGACCTGCATCACTTCGGGCCTTCCTCCCACATTAAGCTGACACGCCGTGATATAACTGGAATACTGTTAAAAGCGGCGTTAAACCCGACTCACTCACTCGCTCACTCTTTTACCTTCATGAATTATTTAGGACTTCATTTTCAGTTAACCACACTTAAAGTATGTTAATTGAAATATGAGATAAAATGTGTCTGTTCGTTTCAAAATGTTACAGTCGAGGCGTTACAGCATGTGCCGTTTCTCGCTTGTATGTGAATGATACCGCAACACTTTGATTCTCTGAACAGGCATGAATATAGACATTCTTGGGGCCCGGTTGGCCCAGTCGTCTATGGGCAAGCCAGAAACCTATGATTGTGGGTTCGAATCCCGGTTCGCCCTGATTATGTTTCTAGGTTTGTCAGCACCATACCCGTGCTCGTGGGTTTCACCGAAGTGGTAAACGTCTGAGACCTGAATCACTGAATCCTCCCACATTAAGCTGACACGCCGCGATATAACTGGAATACTGTTAAAAGCGGCGTGAAACTCAACTCACTCACACTCATAGACATTCTGCATATATTTTTATATTAAAACTGTGAGCCTGAATTTTTTTAACGAAGGACACCTTGCAACAATGAAATATTTGTTGCAGGCAATTATTTTTCAACAGTCAGAAGCATAAATATTTTTTATCCCCCGACCCAACGAAGTTGGCGGGGGATATTGAAATGGGTTCCGTCTGTCCGTCCGTGTGCCCGAGTGTGCGTGCGTGCGTGCGTGCGTGCGTGCATAACTCAGAAACCGTTAAATATTTCTCTACGAAACTTTGCATGTCTATCAGATTCATGCTGAACTGGTGCCTTTTGCTATTTAGGAACGTTAGAAATTTGTATTGTTTATGTTTCCATGACAACAAGCTGGATTTATATTTTAATATAGGGTGGGTTCACTTATGAAGAATAACAAATAAACTGTTAAATATTTCCTTGCCAAATATTGCATGTCTATACATAAAGCACACACTGAATTGGTGCCATTTGGTATTAAGGAGTTTTAGAAATGTTTATTTTAGAATTTCCATTGCAGCTATTTTGGCTAAGTGAAATGTTGGGTCAGTTACCTGGTTTGGGACCATAAAGTGTTAAAATGGGCGAGGGATATACGCTTATTACAATAATTTTGGGGGACATTCTTTTTTCAATAAAATCCCTGACTCCTCCCCTGCTTAAGAATATCCAATGGTCGGCTCCTAAGTATTGAGTGTTTGCTTTTCACTTCCCTCCCTGCTTTTATTTATGTACATTGTACCTACATGAACATAACTCATACATGCTTTACTTAGAAGTCAAATCTGTGACATTCTTCTCATATAACAGACCGCATCCGTGGTCTAATGGTAGAGCGTCCGCCAGGAGAGCGGAAGGTCCGGGGTTCGATCCCCGGCCGCGTCATACCAAAAGACGTTAAAAGATGGTACTTGTTGTTACCCTGTCTGGCGCTCGGCATAAAGGGGCTAAAACAAGGACTGGTCGGCTCGGAGTCAGTATACTGTGTCTGAGTGAAGTGTTCATGTTAAACTGCGGCATGGTATTTCAGTGGGATAGCACTATAAATCGACATCAGTCCGGACCAGTACAAGTAATAAAGTACTTATCCGTCAATTGTCGGTAAGGTGTCGGTAAGGTGCTTAATCCTCAAGCAACTCGGTAGTATGCCAAACATACAAAAAAAATTCTCTAGCTAGTTTGTGAAATTTGAAAAAAAGTATGTGACTGTTATATCATATGAATCATACACTAGATATTACATATTACATATTTAATGTATAATCTATGTTATTTTCCATTATATATCTACATCATTAAAACCCATATCGTCGTTCACGCACAATTATGTTATGGGTAGAGAAATATTTGTATTGTAGTGTATGTTTGGTCGGTATGACATGTGAATGTGTCAGTTGATGATGGAGTCACAGTGCGTGGATCCAGACTGTATGTTTGGTCGGTATGACATGTGAATGTGTCAGTTGATGATGGAGTCACAGTGCGTGGATCCAGACTGTAGGTTTGTGAGCACGTTATTATTATCTAAATAGCTATACACATGGTTGAACAAATATTTTTGTAAATATCTTTGCCAAACGACTTCATCATCATTTATTGTATTCTGGCCATAGGCCCATATACATACAGTAACATTATATATATACAATTTTGTACATGTAGAAGTATAAACATGCAGACTTATATGCACAGAGATGTGCACGTGTACAATTTTGT